GCGCTTGGTGTGTGTTTTCGCACTTTTCGAGCTGTTCGCGCTTTTCACGGCTTTCGTGCATGCTGGCACGACGACAACAACAACAACAACTACTACTACTACTACTCCTGCTGCTGCTGCTGCTTCTACTGCTACTGCTACCGCTACCACTACTGCTACTGCTACCGCTACCGCTAGTGCTACCAAGTATCAATCCTGTCAGTCCGCATGCTATGTATCACTGTGGAACAACAGGTCAGGGTCGGTGTATGTGTGACCAGTTGTGTTGGTTCGCGATAAGTGCCGGGCAATGGTATTGACAAGTTCATGGTTGTATGGAAGTTTTGCGAGATGGTATCTGGCACTGATGATCGGGGAGATGGGCAGTCAATAATCCTGAACTGGTTGAGTTTACTGACAGCCAGCCACAATTTCCTGTCTTTGACCTTGTGTGTCTGGCTGAGCTCAGGCCACGGGATACGTACCTTGTGGCCGTTGCCAGGCTACAGGGCTGTCAGCCGCAAAGCTGAAGTCCTACAATCGCGCTTCGCCTGAAACATTTCCTCCCAGTTCTTCTCTGTCCGTTTGAGACTCGGCCTCGCTCCTAAGGTGATGAGAAGTTCAGAAAGGCTGGTTGGATCATGCATGTTTTAATGCCGCAGCTTTCCCTGGATTGAGATTGTGGCGCGGACCCGGAAGATCAAGTGCGACGACGATGGGAGGACCGGATGCAGCTGCTTTCCTTCCATTGATGCTGCGACTGCCTTCATCCCAAGGTCATCAGAGTCGTCAAAATTTGTTGTTTGTTGATTTGGTGTTTCCCTACTGCTGATTGGCTCTGCCAGTGCTTGGAGGATTTGCACCCTTTGTTTTCTGGTTTCCCAAACTTTGGGCGCCCAAGCGTTTGCTCATGCTGTTCTCCTCTAAACTCTGGAGTTTGCCCTGTGCTCCCGGTCGGAAGCATTCAACAGCGGTCTGTGCATCAGCAATTCTTCAGAGAGGGGTGGTCGTTCGTGGGTAGTTTTGTAAATTAGTGTCCCTTTTTGGGTCCCCAACATAGTACAGCACCCTTATGAAAAGGCCCCCAAAAGGGACCCTAATTTAGATAACTGCCCACATGCATCGATAAGGCGCAATTCAAGGGCGGGCCCTGCTCCATTATCAGCACACATCGTGGGCACCTGGAACATCTTGGGCGAAGGGTGGCTGCTGTTTCACTGTTGCTTTGCAGCTGATTCTGGTTCCGGTAACTGTTGCATTGTTTGCACTATTCTTGCATTTTTGAAGTTGAAGGTTTTTCGCTCGCCAATAAATTGGAACTGCCACCGCTATCACTTCCAGTATGTCGCTTCTTAATTTTTGACTCCCACCATCGGTAGGTACAAAGCCGAGCATTGCAGTTTTCAATCTCTCCACGTTTCTACTTCTGACTCTTCGCCGTACTAAGTTCATCTGTTCGTTAGCCTTAACCGCAGTGTTAGCCGTGTACATTATTCTTCCACTGCTTCTCTTCGTGGCAGTTGACCGTTTTTGCTTTTCGCTTTTATCCACCTGGGCTACGCCAAAGTCGTATGATTGCCGCTGCGCCTCTTTGGTGCTTGCTACTTCTGCACTCCTTCTGACCGAAGCCATGGAATTGCAGGGCAAAGCTGAAACGGGTCATGGCTGCCGCAATCGCTTCTCGGCTGCACAGACGGGAATGGCTTCAACATGTGCGATCGAATGGTTGCAAGCCAGAGGCAGGCTCGCCCTTTTCCCGGAAGGCTTCTAGTCGTAGCCTCCTGTGCTGATCTGCATCCTAGGCGGAGGTGGAGGCCAAAACGGCGGTCTCAGAAGGAAGGGAGGCTCAAGAAGTGAGGCCTCCGGAAGCGCCCAAGGAAGAGCCGAAGGGCACATGGATCGGTAGCTAGGCACATCCTTTGTTTAACTTGGATTGTGGGAGGCGCTTGTTGTGCCCGAAGGGGACATTCTGTGCTTGCCGAGTTTTGGAGCGGCTTGCCGGCTCGAGACACAAAATTTTCGAGAGGCGCAGAAAAAAGGAAGTGGAGCACACTCTTGTTTTTCTGTCGCGTGTGGGTGTTCCTTGTGTGCAGCAGCAGTCAAGGTTCTAGACCCAGCATTGCGCGTTTGGGGTTCCTCGGTCAGGTCATGTTCCTTTCGGACATGTGGCGCTATCACCTGGAAACCAATCAGTGGTGAGCCATCTCAGCCCCTGTTGTCATCTTTGTCATTGATACTAAGCTGCTACGACTACTGATCAACTACTACTACTACTACGACGACGACGACGACGACCACTACTACTACTCTTGCTGCTGCAGCTATTGCTATCGCTGCTGGTGCTACTTCCCAGTACGACGACGACTGTTACCACTAGGACTGAGACCACTACTAAGGCTACAACAACAGCAACAACAACAACTACTACGACTACTACTACTACTACTACTACTACTACTACTGCTGCGACTACGACTACAACTACGACTACGACTACCACGAAGACGACGAGTACTACTACTACAACTACAACTACAACTACAACAACAACATCAACAACAACAACAACTACAACAACAACAACAACAACAACAACAACTACTACTACTACTACTGCTACTACTACTACTACTACTACTACTACTACTACTACTACTTCTACGGCTACTACTGCTACTACTACTACTACTACTACTGCTACTACTACTACTACTACTACTACTACTACTACCACCAGCACTGCCTTCGCCACAGTCACGAACTCGACCACCACCACGGCAACGACCGACCACCACCCCGCCACCACCCCGCCACGAGCCCCACGAGCCCCACGAGCCGCACGAGCCCCACGAGCCCCACGAGCCCCACGAGCCCCACGAGCCCCGCGAGCCCCGCGAGCCCCACGAGCCCCACGAGCCCCACGAGCCCCGCGAGCCCCGCGAGCCCCACGAGCCCCACGAGCACCACGAGCACGACGACCAGCACGACCAGCACGACCAGCACGACCCACCATAAGCACCATGACCACCACAAGACGTTTATCGCCAGCGGTAGTACCGACATTTTTTCTCGATGAACGCTACTACGTGAATTTCTGCTGGTTTGATTTTGCGGCGCGAAGAAGGCACAACTCTGGGTACGGACAAGCCGCTGTTTGCTGCCGGCTAATGCAGCTTTCCTTGGAGGTGGCTCATCAGAAGGCCAGTTAGTTGTGCCAAGAGTTTGGCAAAGCGCTAGCACTGCTACCTATACGACTGGTAGTTACTTGAAGTAGCTGTACATCCAAGGGCAGTATGAGTTCCGATTTGGGAACGAACCCAAAATCCCAACTGCCAAACCTCAAACCCTAAACCTCAACAAGGTTCCCAATCCGCTACGATGACGGCCCGTTGGGAAGGTGGTCCGAGACCCAGGTTCGAAGATTCGGAAGTCAGTTAGGTGATGAGTTCAAGTACTTGCCAACGGCCGAACAACTTGCGGCGGTATGCAAATTTTCCATGTTGGTTTAAACGCTTTTGTCGTATATGCATATGCATTCATACACAGCCTGCGATGCTACGTTGTGTCTGTTGCACTGTGTGAGCATGTAGCGCATCGCAAGTTCGCCGCATTTCTATTTGGCTGTAGCTTGTCGGGCGACTGGGACCTGTTGGGTCTAGTATGGGTGAATGTTGGCAAACGTCTGATACATTCGCTGGACTATTGTATGATGATATATTCCAGTTTTGTTTTGCATGATAGATTTCGGGCCATGTGCTACTCAGTCTTTGCTTTTGATGGGAGAATTTTCTCTTTCCTTTCCGAGTTCCGATCCCTCCAGTGTCGCCGTGTCAGGAAAGAGGGTGCCACGCCTGTTTACAACAACAGCCGCTCACTCAGAGAAATGTCCTGCGGTTTCCTAGAAAGTCTCGGTGTGGCTGAGAGTGGGCACCAGTCTAGACGTGTGGGGACCGGGCGGGTCAATTGATTGTTGTAGTGCCTCTCTCAGTCAGACGAGAATGGTGTGCAGGCGAACTGGTGTTGATGGGCGGCTGCACAGAAACCTCTGTGAAGTTTGCAAGGCCTGCGCTTCCTTGCCAGGGCTGGCTCTGATTGATGTGTCTCTGACAGGAATGACCTTTGGGTGCGAGCCTGGAGAAAAGCTGAATGTGTGGGGTTTGAAAAGCATGCGAACATGAAGACGAGGTCTTTACACCAGTTCGAGGTGGCGGTTCGTGGCGGAGGGTATACACGTCCAATCCACCAGTCGCCAGGCTGGGATATCCTTGCTTGGATGCCCGCAGTGGCCCATCTCGAGTGCATGTCCACCAAAACACCCGGCCGAACCAAATTGTCAGATCCCCATTTGTGAGGCGTGGTCATGTCCTCGTGGCCAACCATTCGCACCTGATCATGTTCGGTGGCAAGGCTTGGGCAAGGTTGAGCCTGTGTTGGTGCCATCTCCCGAAAGCCTCTGTGCTGGTGGCCAGACGACTCATCGTCGCGAAGAGAGGTGGGACGCCGGAGAAGGGAGCTCTTACTTCGTCCAAGCGGCTCTCCGTGCATGACAGGGCTTTCGAAGAGATGGAAGAAGATATCCCAGATTTGGATTACACGCCACAGTCAACCTCTGAGTACCCACTTATTCTCCAACTTGTGTTCTCCTTAACCTGAAATCCTCAGCTGCTGAGAAATCAGACTTTCCCAGGCCAGGCGAGAAGTGCTTGGTTGACCTGTGGGTCATCTCCAAAGCCTGAGCCAGAGACTCCATGTCAGGGAGTTTCCCAGAATTAGGGCACCTTATTTTGGGGTCCTTGTAATAAGCATCCTATTATATAGGGTACTATATTAGGGCACCTTATCTTGGGGTCCTTATAGTAAGGATCCAATTATATAGGGTACTATATTAGGACCCCTATTTTCGGAAACCCCCATGTAGCTTCGAGGCAGACAATTTCAAAGCACATCCTCTAGCACTCTACGGCCCAAAGAAGCTTGTCATTCTCTGATGTCCAGTTCACACTGCACTGTGCATGCGAAGTTTGCAAAGCAGCACACCTGTCTACACATACAAGATGTAACTTGCTTGTAAAGTGTGTAGGGTAGAAGGCACGCAGTATGCATGTGTATCTCCACTTTAAGATACATGTATCTTTATGTCTATATATACATATCAGCATGCTTATACATATACATGTGTACATACATATATATATATATATATATACAGATACATTCCTACATACATATATATATACACATGTAGACGTGTATAGATATGTGTGGGCACGCACACCCACATTCATCCTAGCGTACATGAATGGTATTTCGGTTGATGGTTATGAGCATCGCTCGCATCGGCCACTGACATATGGCAGGCTCGCAGACGCTAGGGTGCGTGGATCAGTCCTCGGGGGAAATGGGGCCAGGGCTAATTCCGAGATGAGCACCACGCACTCAGGAGCCAGGGTCACAGGCCAGGGCTGTGGCCCATGCGAGATGTATACGTATATGTGAACGTATATGTATACACACACACACACGCATAAGGTGTATATGTACACATGTATGTACATGTATGTACATATAGTTACGTAGACAAATACGCAGGTATGTTTATATATATATATGTTATATTTATGTAGTTTTTGTAAAGATACACTGAAGCACCATAGTATCTGTGCAGGGTCATGCAAGATTATGAAATTTGTATCGACAGTTGTACATGCTGAACATAAATTTCTCCGCATGAGAACGTCCGACTTGTCAATGTTTAGCACCAGCACATAGTCAGGTATGGAGCAACATTGGATGAGGCAGAGTTGCGGGAAGGTATCGTTGTACGCGTGAACACAAGCATATCTACATGTTTGTTTGCCTGAACATATGACGGTACGTCTGCCTGTACACACAGCTTTGCTCTGTTAGTTGCAGTTCTACTTGTTCGACTCACCGGCTTCTTGCCCGAAGCCTTTTCGATTTCCTAGTCTATTAAGTGCACTAGGCCTGTGGCCACTATCGCAGCATGTGCCCTCAATCGGTATATGCGTACACATGTATGTACATATGTGTATATATGCTTATGCATATGTTCAGATATACAAAGCAACACATGTCCCACACCTATATATGTATAAACATAGATGTATGTATACATATAGGTATATGTATTTGTATATGTGTTTACATATTTGTACATGTATATGTTTATATGTACCTATATATTTATATATAGATATATGTATGTATCCATATATATATATATATATACATGCACATATACGCTGTATTCTGTAGTTTCTGTCTACAAATGTTTATATTTATATGCTTGCACACGTATACACTCACGTATATATTATGTGTATATATGTAGGTGTAGTTATGTATCTACGTATCTATCTATCTATCTATCTGTTTAACAATATCTATCTATCTATCTATATATATATATATATATTTACATACATATGTATACAAATCCATATGTACACATGTATATTTGTATATATATATATATATGTATGTATTACAGGTGTATAGGCATTTGTGTATAGGTACACATACATGCGCATGTATGTGCATACATATATATATATATATGTATCTGTATATATATATATATGTATGTATGAATGTACATATGTATATATGTATAAAAGAAGTATATAAGTCTATAAGTCTATATGTATATATGTGTATATGTAAATATGTAAAGATGTATGTACGTACATACGTCCCAATTACGGACAGTCCACTCCTTCATCAGTCTATAGTCGGCCCAGGATGAGGTGCTCAAAGGCAGCTCCACGAAGGAACTTCCCAGGTTCCGCGTGCCATGTCTTGCTATTTGGGGGTTTCCGAAAATAAGGTGTACCTTTTTTGGGGGTCCTGATAATAAGGATCCTATCATTCAGGGTACTATTTTTAGGGCCCCTATTTTCGGAAACCCCCATTTCGGACTCACGGGGAAGTGAGTCAACAGTTCACGTGATGTTGTCGGTTTGCTTTACAAGCTGAAGCCATGCAGGTGGCAAGAAGGTGCGCCATTCCCGGCGGGATGCAGTTGCTTGGCTTCAGGGGGCATGGAGGAATCAACAGCACATCGTGGCTTAGAAAAAGTCCCTAAACCCTAAACCCTAAACCCTAAACCCTAAACCCTCCCCCTTCAGGATGGGGTGGCACCGGTGTTTGACGCTCAGCCTTCTACCCCGCGCAAGTGGAGTGCTGCATGCATCGGACAGCCGAGTCTTTCCTTCGGGACTATCTCGGAAAGACCCTCCGCTGACTCAACATTGGCATGTTTCTGGGCTTCCTGGTCGCAGTGGTCCTTTCCAGCTTGCAGGAAGTACTTGGCCATGTTCGGTGGTCGCCACTTGAGTGCCGGGAGTGCCTGGCACCGAGACCGCAGGAACTTAGCTTCGTGTGTTTCATTGCTGTCATTGCCTCTTGGTACACCCTAAACCCTGAACCCTAAACCCTAAAACGGCCACTCAGGTGGAGCACAAGGCGAGCAGTGCCTGGGGCCGAGTCGCGAATGCCCGCAGCGGGTTGCCACCTTGACCTTGCTCGCCGAGAAATACGTGTACTACAACGACCTGTGGCTCTACGACTTCCTGCAGGCCGCATTTTCCCTAAGAGCTTGTCTGCTTCTAGACCGTAGACAAAACACCGGAGAAACCGTAAGCTCGAAGCTTGCCAAGCCAGACTCGGAGGATGGTTGGTATGAGGCCCCCACCAAGGGTGCCAGGCGGGAGCCGCGGCAGTAGAAGGAGTTCAGGGTTTCGGGACGCAAGTCTAGGGAGGTTCAGGTTTTCTGTCGCGAAGGGTTTGGGGTTCATTGTCAAGGTCTCGGTTTCAGCAGCTACCCCAACGGCTCAATCAGTGCAGCTTCAAAGGCCTCGTTTCCACACAGCGTGCTGAGCCTAAACACTCAACTGTACCCTAAACCCGACTTGTTTCGCAAGAGGCCTTCAATCAACTTCGCAAGTTTCCAACTTTGCTCCTTAACGTCAAGCATCTACTCAATCTAATCTCCTGGAGAGGCCCTGCCCTCGGGATCATCACGGAGCAGCCACATTGAACGACAAGCTTTACGTGCGCCCGGCCCGGTCTAGTCAGTGACAGTCAGGCTCAAGTTGCAACGCTGCGTCATGTAGTTCGGCACCGAACCCCATTCCCATGGGACAAGCGTCACAAACTCTTTGGCACTCTGTCGTAAGCACCCTGTCGTAGCATTCTGGTCTTTTTCGATGGCAGATCTACGGCGGTCGGCGGTCCGAAGAGCGTTCGGGGCACGCTGTCTTGGCTGACGTTTGGAGCCTTTGCCCCAGCGAGTTTTCACCATTTCCACACCTGGCTTTGTGATGTCGTAGGAACCGAGAATCTCTGATCCATGTGTGTTTTACACATACACAAAAATATGTTTCTCTATAGATACATCAATACAAAAGTAGATATACATATGTATGTACACAGATGTATACACGTGCACACACACACATGTACGTAAGAACATGGCAACACACAAAGACGTACTTCTGTGTATATATCTACGTATGTGAGATATACAAGGACGCAGGCACATGCATGCATAGATACCTGCGTGCATACATACATGCAGACAGACATACATCTACATACATGTAATGTACACGAACACACATAGGGAACCACAGAGATAGGTAGACGTACATATGTACATACGTACATTCGTACGTCGGTAATCACACACAGACATACGTACGGACGGACATGCACTCATACACGATGCTCGCATACACATACACACACATACATACATACATACATACATACATACATACATACATACATCATACATGAAATATCTACGTTACATTTCAGTACCGTACAGTACAGTACAGTACAGGACCGGTACAGTACGGTACAGTACAGTACGAGAGTGCTTGGCCGGGGCAACTACGTCATTGACACCAGAGAATGAGCGCTGGACATCACTCAGCAGGGATATGCAGGGATCGTACAGTTTCAATCCTGGCACAACATGCTACCGCCTGTACTGCAATGCATTGTGTTCGCTAGTCTTCGTGTTTGGATGGCATCGTGCCAGCGTATCTGTGCAGGCACCATGATGTCCAGAGTACGGGTCTTGGGTATGGTCTTGGGTGCCAAACCCGTACACGAGAAAACCTAAAGAACACCCGCGTAGGTGTGTCTGTGTGGGTGGGTGGGTGTGTATGTAAGTTTGTAAGAAAGTAAGTATGAATGCATGTATGTATAGCATCTTCAAAGACCCGCGCACATGCCTACATGTGTACATGTATGAGAGTTTGCATACATACTCAAACAAGTAATGTACGTGTATGCATATATATATATATATATAAATGTGCGTATATGTATATACGTAAGTATATATTTATAAGTATATATATATATATATCTTTATTTGTAGACATATACATATGTTTATTTCATACGTGCGTATGTATTCATGTACGTGTGTATGTATGTATGTATGTATGTATGTATGTATGTATGTATATATATATATGCATATTCAGTATCTGTTATAACCCAACAGACAAACAAAGAGAGAGAGAGAGATATCTATATATATATATATATATGTATATGTATATGTATATGTATATACATGTGTATGTATGCAATTATTTATCTATCTATACATATGTATATCTATGTATATATGTATATATGTATATATGTATATATGTATATATGTATATATGTATATATATGTATATATGTATATATGTTTACATACATTAGATATATATATATATATATGTATGTATGTGATTTATGTGTGGATGTGTGTATGTGTATATGTTTTGTATACGTATGCCTAGGCATGCATGTATATGCACACAGAGTTACAGCACCTTTGCAACGACAGGGTTCGTCATGTTGGATCGAGGCTACGACATCAACACACTCACCTGGACGGAGCACGTTCCGCTGGCTGGGCCCACGAGTTCAGGATTTGGGGTCAATGAAGGCACATTCGCCTAACGTGTTGTAGTGTTGTGCCATAGAAATACCCAATGGCTTAGGCGGTACATGTGGAGCCATTTCTCGCAAGCCGGATTTGATTGTTGTCTAACTATGTCCAAGTCAAGAGTCTGAGTCGAGCTTGTCAACTTTATGATATTCTTGGTTTATACCCCCTCTTCGAGATGATTTCAGCGTTTCTTGACCCATGAGCTGGACAACTATGGATTGCGGGTATTATTGAGGCTCTCAACCCTCCTGTGTCTTTCGACAGCGGCGCGTGAACGAAAGGAACATAATGCAAGCGACCACGAGGCTGAAAAGGGTGAAGCCCCGTCACCATGATACATGGTACTTTTGAAGTGGGTACATGGTACCCTTGAAGTGGGTCTATTTCATGTGCTTGTTGCCTCACTGCCAGTAGGAGGACCCTGCCAACCTTCATATATGTGCAGGCTAGACAGACTCCATAGACACTATTTTCTCCTGATCCTGTGCTGCGTCTGCATCATGAGTCATTACCGTCAAGAATCTAACAAATCACCTCAACCCACAGAATCTCCCGACACTCAACAGAACCCGTTTTGAGACTGGGTGAATGGCAACAGTTGAGGTCAGAACGATGCCACAGTCGCATAATCTTCATGTGGTCCTGCAACATCTACATCATCTTTAAACGCGACGAACACCCAGTGCAAACCTGTTGGCCCACGGCCGCCGAAAGAAGCATTTGCGAGCAAGCTTGTGCATTTTGGCCTTAATCCAGCAACGCCCAGGGTACAGCACCCAGTGCTCGATTCATGCCAGGAGTGTCGGGGCCTGGCTTGGGGAGGCTTTGTCGGAAGTGGGAATTCGTAAGACGAAGCACCGCTGGCCAAGCGAAGCCCAAGCAGCGAACAGAAGCATAACGTGCTCCCTAAACCCTAAACCCTAAACCCTGAGAATCGTGGGATTTCAGTGGGAGGTGTTTTCAGTGCCAGACCGACCTCTCAGAGTGGTGCTGGACACATGTAAGTGTCTACCTTGAGGCCCGAGTATCGCCGAAGGTGGCTGTAGGTGTCCTTAGCCATTCGACTAGCTTTTGGATGTAATCATGTTTTGGTTGTCAGTTGGGAGTTTCCGAAAATTCGGGTACCTTATTTTGGGGTACTTATAATAAGGATCCTACTATTTAGGGTACTATAGTAGGGTCCCCTATTTTCGGAAACTCCCAGTTCTTGTGGCCTGGATATGGAGAGAACTTCAGATCTGGTAGCAGCGACGGAGCGAAGTCAAAACGGATATCAAATCGCAGTGATAAGCTAGCGGCACTGCTCGGATAGATGGTACTCGTAGAGGGTTCTTTCATGGTTCTACGGGGTGCTGATTTTGTTGAAGCTGTAAAGTTTTCGGGCTTTGGTGCCTAGGAGGTCTCGTAGTTCAATATGCTATTTAAAGCTGTCAGGCAACATGGTAAGGCATTCAGGACTGAATTTTCAATCTGGGAAAGCATCGTATGATATTGGCAAGAGGAGGAAGGGAGAGTGCCAGTTGTGCTCGAAGTGCCCTTCATAGTCTTCCTGCTGACTCAATGAGGTCAGACATCCTCTACCAGGGAAAGCAGCACCTGGCGGTTTTCGCAGGTTGGAGAGTTACGTATTCTCCGATGCTTAAGCTCGCTGTTTTATTCTGACTTCTGTTACTGCTGTTCCACTGCACTCGGGCCCGACTTTCTGTTGCATTATCCATTCCTACTCTGCGAGTCTTTCAGTTTTCAGGTGAGACGTTGCCTGGCTCGACGAAGAGGACAACGCTAAATGACCTCTGGGTCTTTGACCCCTCCTCGGCCGAGCTCCAAGTGGTTCCGGGGTGAAGGTCCAAGGTTTTACCAACTATTATAGGGTTAGTATAGTAGTATTATAGGGCTATTATAGTACTATTATAGGGCTATTATAGTAGTATTATAGGGCTAGCCCCTTTCTATAGTCCGAAGGTCCGCGGTATGTGCAAGCTAGGGGCGTAGGGGACTTCCGTCCAGGATGCTCCTTGCTAAGAAGGTTTGACGAAACGCTTGCATGCATGCCGGGTTGGCGGACTACCCTAAACCCTAAACCCTAAACCCTAAACCCTTCTCTCTTGGTGGGAATGTCAGGAACAAATCCGGGCATGGCAGCGGCGAGTGGTTGGGGATCTGTAGCAGAGGGCAGCTTTGTTGTGAAAGCCTGTCACACGACTCAACCAAGTTTTTTCCACATTGCGCTGCATGCTGTTCGGGAAAAGTTGATAAGTTACTTATGAGAGCTCAGGAACCATGATTTGTCGTAGTCCTACTGATTTAGAGACTGTGTTGTGGTCTTCTTCCCCATGCGTGCCACTGTCATCAGTAAATTTAGCATTCTTCTAGATTCTAGATGTGCTAGGTTTAATGCGATGCGAGGCCGTGTGGACGGAACTTTTTGCGCCAACCTGCGAAGAACCGCCAGTCTCCTGCCTTGTGTTCCGTGGATTTCTGCGGCGAGTGGTTGCCATGAATTTGTTATGGTGTTTCCGTTCTTGGGGCTGAGTCCCAGACTCTTACCTTGAACTCACCGCTGGTGCAGCTCCTGACAATGCCAGGCGACGTCTAAAGTCTAAAACGTGGCATTGCACGGGAGTCGCGGAGGCAGCTACCACCTCCAGCCGTACCCCCCACCCCCTCATCCTACACTAACCCTATAATAGAACTATAATAGCCCTATATTACTAGTTATAACAATACTATAATAGCCCTATAATAGTACTATAGTAGCCCTACATTATTAGTTATGGTAATACAGAATAGCCCTATAATAGTACTATAACGGCCCTATAATGTTAGTTATAACAATGCTATAATAGCCCTATAATAGTATTATACTAGCCCTATAATACTAGTTATACTAATAATCCCTAAACCCTAAACCCTAAACCCTAAACCCTAAACCCTAAACCCTAATCCAAGAAACAAGGGCCCAGGGCCCTAAGCTGCCAGCTGCCAGGTCCCGGAAGAGTACGTCAGCTGGAGCACGCAAGGAAGCTCAGCTCCGAGAGACAGGCAGAGAAGGGTCAGAGTTTAGGGTTTAGGGTTTAGGTTTAGGGTTTAGGGTTTAGGGTTTAGGGTTTAGGGTTTAGGGTTTAGGGATCCTTCCGTTTTGAAGGGCGGCGAGTTTTTTTGGGGCTCTTCAAGGGCACAAAAGCTGAAGCTTTGGAGTGCATGCATCATGAGAGTGAGTTGGCAGAAAGTTGCAATCGACATGTGAGTGCTGTAGGGTTTTCAACGGGGCTTCGGTGGCCCTGGCTGAGCAAGAGCCCCGTTTGTCGCAGAAAGCTGTTGCTCAGGGAAATCGGCTGCCTGGCTCTGGTGTTCTGCTTCGGGTGCCAGCCTCAATTCGTGAGATAGAGCTAGGGTGGAGCACCACACGAAATAGGAGGAGGGAGGAGGGCAGCACGGCAAGCGGTGATGGGAAGATTGGAAGATTGGGGAGGGATTGTGTCGGAGCTCCAGGATCAAGCCTTCTTGGGATGGGAGTTCCGGAGGTTTGCAGGCAAGGTCACGTCTTGCACCTCGCAGGCCAGCGCTGTACCTGGGCATCAAGCAGCTGGTGAGGCCCGCACAGGCCCAGGAAATGCCGGGAGCCCGGAGTCCCTTTGCTTCCACGTGCTTCTGCTTTTGGCCGCTCTTCCGAGCCTTCAGGTCGCAACCCTTTCTCACCTGAAGCTGACGAGAAGTCGGCTTCTTTTTTTTTTCTTACGGCTTCCATGAATTGCTTCTTAGCCGCTGCTCCTTCAAGGAGGCGAGAGGGCTCCCATCGACCGGGCCTCTTCATCGCGGGGTGGGAAAAGAGGGTACAGCATGTGTTGCATCGCACAGTGTACACAACAGTTGTACCAACTATCAATCAATATCAATGTTAGAGCTGATAGCTCGTGAGGTTATTTACCTGTGAAGAAGAATGTTCCAAGATGTACAGCACTCGACTTCCACGCCGGGATTTTTTTCATAGTGACCACTGTTAGATTGAGTTCATAAAAGGCATCACTAACTAAAGCAGAAGGAGCAATCTCGTTCACGACCTTGTTGTGTGATGGCATGGTCGGCAACGCCCCAGTAGGCGTTTCTTGTTCAAAGTACTAGAGACTGTTCTCGTAGTGACGAGAAGCCTTGGCATGTTGACGGCCGCAGCAAGCCGACGCGTAGCTTACGTGAGTCAAGACCGGTTAGGCGTTCCTCCGAGCGTGGTGAGAAACAAGTAGAAATGGAGAACCACTTGGAGGTGTCTGGTTGCGATTGATGTTCACAATACCTTACAATGATAAGAAGTAGAGTAGACGAGTAAGAAGAGCATGCACACCGATGGGCGGCAATGGGAGGAGCAGCAGCAGCAGATCTGGAGGCCGCGCAATGAGATCCTACAAGCCTTGCGCGCAGTCGGATTTGTTCCAAAAAGCCAAATATAGACATGCGCCGTCCCAACTGTTACTTTCTGCCAGAATCCTTCCGCATCCCCGGCCATCTTATGACAGTTCCCTGCCCTGCCGCAACTCTTCCATTGAAGTGCGTTGGCAAGGTGTATGCCAAACCTAAACTTGGGAGCGGTCCCGAAGCGCGAATGCTGCGATCGTCGTGTTCTTTTATGATAGATGCGCAAACCAAACTCAGAAGGTCATAGCGGAGGAGATCGCTGAGAACACGCAGTGCAAGAACGTGCTGGATTCAGTGGGGTTGGGGTGGGGACGGGGCGAGGGGGGAGGGGGTGATGGTGAGAGCATGTGTCTCTGTTGACTAAGTTTGCGGAGTGCCACAACTTTGTGGGCAAGCGCTCGCGCACTGGCCTTTGTTACACTTGCGTCGGGGTCTCAGTTTGTGTTTTTTATAGCAGAACAACAAACAACAACACAGCTGAGGGTATGGTGCAGCGCGCCGCGAACAATCACCAAAAGAAAAAGGAAAAGAAGGAGGCTGGGAGAGGGAGAGGGAGAGTGATATAAAGAGATAGATAGAAAGAGAGAGAGAGAGAGAGAGAGAGAGATAGAGAGAGAGAGGGGGTGGGCGTCTGCTTTTCTTCTTTGCCGTGTCAGGTTCGCGAATTTGCTAAGACGGTTCGGGACTCGGCTCGTGCATCTTGAGTGTCGTTCTGTTTGTTGGCGCATGGGAGGCTGAGCATCTCCTTACCTTCGTGCAAGTTGGCGGGGAGGGGGAAAGGGATGGAGGGGGGTAGGGGCTGGAGTGGCTTGCTGTGTTTTGTTGGATTTGGTCTTTCGCAGGGTGCAAAGTTTCCTCAACGATTCCGGTGACAACTGCAGCCTACCTCAAGTTGGGGGCTCGGTTCACATCTCGTCATTAGGAAGTCGTGCAGAGATAACTTGTGCTGAGGTGCCTGCGACTTGCGGAGTCGGACGTTCTGGCCTCAGTGGTTCGGGTTTATTCTTTCCTAGTTACGGGAAAAGTTTGAAACCTCAGCCAGACGATCACGGCAAAAGAGGCTTGATCGGATATGGTAGGGATCTCTGCGATGATTTCCATGCGACCATGCCGTGATGTCATATACATGTGTACATGCGTCTGTATTCTCCTAAATTTTTGCTTATATAGGTAGGCTTGCGATTAGGAGGTCAGCCTTCATCTCGCGCGGAAGAACAGCAGGATGTGATCTTTCCGTGGCCATTTTGGCGATAGCCGATCGGCAGTTGCCGGGTTTTTCCGCATTGAATTTCGAGAAGAAACCTGTTGTTGGTGCACATTCCTTGCCGGGCGAATAAACTTGACCAGCTACCGATTGCAACGTAGGTAACAGTGCAACAGTATTGTTGAAAACTAGCAGTGCAAACAAGCGTTCTCTCCAAACATCTGTTTTTTCACACGTGTAAGTGTTCGGACCGAAGCTTCGATTGTGTAGCCATTTGTCGTTGTCGTGATGACACCCGCCGTGCCGAAGCGGGTAGAGGTACACATCAGCACGATCGCCCTCGCAAACATCAGCATGATCATGACACTATTGACACTATTGGTGCTACTACTGCTGCTGCTACTCCACTACCGCTTCTGGTGCAAACACTTGGACTAGCTCCAGTAGACACCTCGCAGGTCGTGCCTGCTTCTGGGAGCTGGGACCGTGACGCGCACCAGCAACATCGTGGGAAAATGCAGCATGCTGTGGTTGGTTCAGCTTCGTGAAGATTTTGTCATGCAGTGGAACTCGTGCTTCGTGGGTCACTTGGCGAAATGATTCCATCTGATTTTTTGTGAGGTATAAAGAACTTCGACTGATTTTCGTTCATGTTCGAACATATGGGTTGCGTCTGCCAGAGATCTCAAGGCTTCGTTTGCGAACCGTCGATTTCTGCTGAGGTGTTCGGCAAGCAGTTTAACATGGGCTCAAGACATGGACTTCATGGACTGGTTCATCGCACTGATTGCATCTTCTCCAGGCCATGACCAGGCCAACCTTGAAGATCAAGAAACCAAGCCTAGAAGCCAAACCCAGCTACAGACCCCCAACTTTTCGAGCTGTTGCATCTAAAAAAGGGAGCAAGTCCTGTTGCTTCTTGCCTTTATGGGGACTACAGCTTCGCACCGGAGAGCCGCAGCAGTGTGGCCGGAAAGCCGCCGAAAGGCTGCATGACGCATGTCCGAGGCTCAGATATACTGGCGCATCTCAACCGCAGTGCGAGAAGTGTCGCTTGTCGGTTCCGTTTTTTGCATGGCACCGCCGGGCTGTATGTGTCATTGGGACACCACACATAATTAGGACTTATCCAAGACGTTACGAAGTATGACGCCATGTTTTAAGGAAGCGTGTTCATTTTGCAAAGTTCACGGTGTATAATCAATTTGTTGCACTAGTGCTGTAACAACTTGATTGCTGTGACGTGTGCTCGAGCTTATCATCTGCATGTTCCACAAAAATTGGGCGCCATGGAGTATCGAATGTTGGCGTGCCAACAGTTACTCAATCTTGTAGCGTGCAACGCTTCGGCATCTTGTGCACGCTGCAGAGTATAATATGCTTGTCTGCTTTGCATCTCATTCCTCATGTTTTCGTACATGGGTTGAATCTACTGGATCAAAGTGGGCTCCGGCATAATTCGGGGGACGCTGTGACGACATGTCATCGGGCGCTGTGGAATGAAAGGTTGGCATTTGATTCGACCCTTGTACTCCACACGATGCTTTCGTCAGCAATATGGCCACTATGGCCGAGTGACAGGGAGAAGCCTGCGCCGCCTCCGCAAGTCGCTGTCGCCCCACCGCCTCCGCCGCAGGGCAGCGTAGAGGCATGTTCTGCTGATGTAACTTCCTGGTGTCGTTTCATGCGTGTTGATTTTGAGCTAGTGGGTTGTTTAACAACATGTAGATGGTTTAGGGCTTCTTTGTCTCGAGTGGTCGGCTTCTCACAGAGGCAGTTCGTATGCACCAATCTTCTGTCATCTTCCAGGCTTCGGGGCTCGGGTCTTCACGCAAGATACGATGATAGGCCAAAAGGTAGATGAGGTAATTGCAAGTATGATGGAACAAGAAACTATACTTGGAGAGCTCTGTAGTCTGGCGAGTCTGGTGGTGACCTTGGTACGTCATCCCTCTCCTAGCGACAGTTGTGCCCCTGCAACTCCGTGGTAGTCAAAGACATTTGAGCCGAAGCAATATGCGAGGTCGCCCAGCCATGTACCGGCTGGAAACCCCAACCCCAGAAAGCTTAAGCACATCCTCCAGAAGGCTCTTCGTGCCCGGCGGCAGCTTGCAGACATCGTGCGGAACAATGCCGAGGTAACTTCGCAGAATGCACAGACATTGCATTTCGTCCAGTGTGTGGGGCAGGTTTGCCGCTGCACTGTCAGGTCATGCTGGCCCTGCAGCTGCGAAAGAACACTGATGATCGTGCCATCGTGAGGGTGCGGCAGCTCTTGTTTTCATATGCCGTGAATGTGAGTTGTAGCCAAAGCTATCCCTGGAGGCACATTTCATTTCACAGTGATTCAGCTCAAGCCTGCCCTAAGCCTGAAACCTCTAGCCCGAACCTCGAAGCCCAAACGACACTTGCAATGCTGCAGGCTCTGGCCAAAGTGACAGATCTTTTTGAGCTGCTCAGGCCATGGCTGCATCTTTCAGAAGAGAGATGCAGAAAAACAGCGGATAGAGACACGGACCCGATATGGTAGGATCCTGGCAATACTACGAGGCTCTAAGTTATTGCCCCCCATAGTCCCTGTGCCACAAGAAGAACTCGGTTATACATGGACCCGGTTATCATCCACACTTGTCTTCTCTCGGATCCTCCCTCTGAAGTACTCTGCCCGTGCAGCCTTCTTGGGAGGCCACTGGAACAGTAAGAAGTAGATCAAAGCTGAACTCCGGGAGCTCCAATGCTCATTCACCACAAGAACGAAGAGCTTCTCCACCTCAGATCTCCCTGTCATCTTCTGGCACAGGGACAGAAGAAACAGTGCGGGAGAAACTCGCAGTCCCCTCCCTACAAGCTCAAGACTTCCGGGAGCATGACCTCGGGAGGCCGTAAGCGGACGGAACTGTGGTGGGACCGTGATTTTTGGGAGCACGATTGGCACCCTTGGAAAATTCCATGAACCCTCTTTTTAACGGCTTCGAAGGTCACAGCAACGAGCCCCGAAGAGAAGAATGGGGTGGCCCTGCTAGGACTTCAGCGACTTCTGCGATCTCAAGACAAGTATGAGCAAACTACTGTAGAAATGAAGCTCTCTTCGAGCACCGAATCGAGCATCAGATCACAAGAAGTCGGTCTCTAACGAGACATCGAGAGTTCCATAATCTCTGATAAGACAGAAAACGGCAGCTATGCGAAGTGCAAACCTAACTTGGGCATTTCAATCCTTACTCATGTTTTTGCAGGTTCCGAAAATGCCGCATGCTCAGAACTAGTCCCAAATTCCAAAACATCAAACGCCAGAACATTGGCATTCAACAAAACACAGAGTTTCAATCTATGATGTCGCAGCTGGTGAGGGCTTTCGGGACAACCTAGAGACTTGCTGCTAGTCTTGTGTGTGTGAGAGTGAAAAGATGCCGGCAGGTTCAAAAACTCACAACGAAACCATCGGCAGTTGATGTGTGTCTGCAGCTGTTGTCGGAATTCATGGGTCTTTGGGAAACGGCCGGAAGTGGCGCAACTTGTCGCCCGCACTTCCCAAAATCAGCTCCGTGAAGAGGGCAGAGTGCGCATAAGCAGATTTCTGTCTGCATTCGCATATGCTCTGACAATGTTGCAGCTCAGCCCGGTATGTCTCAGTGTCAGGAGCGAAAGTATGTGAGGAGTAAAGCCCAAGCTTTGGCGGCATCTGCATTCCAAGCTTCTGCCTTGAGGCAAGCAGGCTGCACCATCGTGCAGGCGACTCGGGCAGAGGAGTTGATGGAGCTGGCCATTGAGGCGAAGATTTCTACCTCTTCTTTGTGTGACATTGAAGCCCGGTCATTGGGCAAGATGGGCAGGCTCCTGATGTGAAGCCTCCAAAGCGGAGTCGAGCTCGCTACTTCTACTGTGCTGCAGGCTCGAGTGAAGATGGTTTCGGTGGCTGGGTTTGGACATAGTTCCTGAACCAGAATGGAACGCGGAAGGCATCATTGTGTTTGTCATTCTTCTGCTCGTGGCAGTTGTCGCCTGACACCTACAGCGCAGTCAGTCTGCTGTAGAGACCGTTGCCAACCGGGCACCTCGTCGTTTCTTCCGTTTAGAGCGGAGTCAGACTCAGGTTCTGGAGGTGTCGCAAGCATCTCAAGGTTGGGAGGCCTCGGGACCTTGGCTTTAGGGTTTAGGGTTTAGGGTTTAGATAAGGAATCCGTCTCCAGGCTCGTGCCTTGTGACCAGGTGGGAACATGCAGCATGACGCTTTTCCACAACCAGACCTGCTTTCAGGCCTTCGCTATGCACGTTGTGTATTCTTTGACAGTCAGCTTAACCGAGATTTCCTGCATCTCTCTGTTCGGCTTAAGGTTCAGAGATGTGATCATACTCATTTACTCGCCTTGCATTTACGGGTCCATGATTTCTTTTGTTTCTGCCTGCTGAAGAGTGAGATCTGTTTCTCAACTTGGTGTCACCAGTGTGTAGTACGATGCTCAACCAGCATAGCCGCTCGCTAGTTCATATGGGTAGTTCTCTAAATTCGGGTCCCTTTTTAGGTCCCCAATATAGTACGGCACCCTGAAAAAGAGGACCCTAAAAGGGACCCTAATCTAGAAAACTACCCATATAGTCAGGTGACCAGCCTTAGGAATGCACACGTTATGCTTATGAGCTACTCGCATCACAGTGTTATGGCTTCAATGGTAATACTCTGGTCAATCGTCACCTTGGTTGTACGGCTTTGGTGATTGGACCAGTGGCTCTAGGCCCTAAACCCTAAACCTTAAACCCTGAACCCTAAAAGTGTACTCACGTGTTTCTTCCCGTGTGCGCCTCTGCACTGCTTTGGCTGTCGATAATGTTCATGTTCGGGGCATTCGTCTTGGCATACCTTTTGGTGTGTTATGTGCGTAATCTGCTATTACGATGAAGCTCATGTTCGTGGATGCTGCTTGCATTCGCTCATTTTATGCTTTTGATTAATCTTCACTCTTCGCCGGTTCTTGTAGTACTGCGGCCTTGCAGGGATGCTTTCATGCAGGATCATGCTTGCAGTGACGTTGCAAAGGTCGTCCTAGTTTTTCGGTCGCCCATCCCGATGGCGGTAAACGCAGACCCCTAGACCCAAAGAGCAAAAATAGTCACGGAACCCTAGACCCAAGCCCCAAGCCTTGAGCCATGGACTCTGTGAGAGTGATGGCAGAAGCTGAACTGCAGCTTCCTTTCTTGAGCCATGTCTGGCAATGTGCCCAAACCCCTCTGGAGCGGCGTGGCGATTTCTTCCCTGGCTGGGCCGTTGAACTGAATGCTTTCGCCCCAGGCCGGCAGGAAGAGAATGGACATAAACATGACAACACAAGGAGCGAAATATGTCTACAAGGACATTTGCCTCACCTTTGGAGTTGTTAGTGCAGAGCAGGAAGTCATAGACTGACATGAAAAATCTGAAGCTTGTGGTCAAGTGTCGACTTCCGTAATGGAGAGGCGATGTGGTTTTCCTCGACACTGGTTCCACTGCCGGACACCACCATGCGGTCGTAGTCTCTCGTCCGGAGGAGTCTGGTGCCTTGGCTGTAGGTATACCGCTCCCTGCTTGCAGCCTTGCTTGCAGCCTTGCTTGCCGCCTTGCTGGGGCACCGTCCGGCAGCTGTGTCCAGGTGTGAGTAGCTCTGCCCTGCAGCACGACGAGCTTGTCGTTGGCTTATCACGGCGCACCATGCCGCAGCAGCTCGCTCCACGCATCAGCAGAGTTCCTTCCTTTCAAGCTACTCTTAAGTCTTGAACATGTGTCATGCTCCAGGGCAATTCAGTCGCGTCGGGTGGTTGTCTGCTTGAAGGCTTTGGTACTTACCGGTTGTTTGTTTCGGAGTTCTATGTAGAGTCTAGGTACGAACCCAACTTATCGCTGCCGGAGTCCCTCAAGGCAGAACCATGAAGTTGCTCTTCAGATTGATGGCCTGCTGGTTCGTGTGCCATGTCGACGCCTTGTTCGCGTCGTACCCCCACGGCGTGTGCTGGTTGTCCATGACACTTTCAGCTACCGGCGGCTGGCGCGAACTCAAGTGGGACAGGCAGGGCTCCCTTAAGTCTCTGCGCTCTGCAGCCAGGTAGGTTTTTCACTTTGGGTGTAGGGGTTCCCGTGACAGGATGATGGAGTGGTGGAGTTAGGCTCCTCGCTTGGGGAGCCTCGTCCGAAGTAGGAGAAGCTTTCTTGGGTTCTCTTGGGTATATGGAATATTTGCTTTGACTGAAAACGCAAGAGTGTCTGCCCTGGAGCTGTGAGGAGTGCACCCGGATCCTGTCTTCTCGTGCTGCGGCGGTGATCGGCATCGATGTCAGTCAAGAACTGGTGGAGGAAGTCGACACCGTTACCCTGGATAAAGCACCATGCAGTAGTTCTTCCCAGAGACTTTGCCCTAAACTCTAAACCCTAAACCCTAAACCCTAAACTTTGTCACATACTCTTCGAGGAGAGCAGTCGGCGCTATCCCGACTGCCGTTTTGAATGGCTGGACTGCTTCCAAGAGCAAGCGCGTTTCGCAGCATTGTGCAAGGAGTCGCTTGAATCGTTCGACTTGCGGGACCAGGTTTGTTTCTCTCTGAGGGCCATCTAGATTGTATTATATTATATTATATTATATTATATTATATTCTATTATATTCTATTCTATTATATTATATTCTATTCTATTATATTATATTATATTATATTATATTATATTATATTCTATTATATTATATTCTATTATATTCTATTCTATTATATTCTATTATATTATATTCTATTATATTCTTTTATATTCTATTCTATTATATTATATTATATTCTATTCTATTGTATTCTATTATACTATATTATATATTATATATATATATATTATATGCATGCATATTACATCTCGACATCGAGGTTCGCCTTGATATAATCCCCAGCTTATATAACCTTGCTGTTATATGGATTCTGTCAGGCCACGTATGAGACGTCGGGGCTGCAAAGCTAAAAAGGCTAAAGGATCCTCCGCGGTAAAACCAAAGCCTCATCTTTTACCCTAAGCCCGGCCAAAGCCCCCAACACCCCTAGAGCTTCGAACCCCATAAACCCTATTAGCCCCTGAATCACAAAGGCCTTGTAAGGCTCCTAAACCTTTTAACCAAAACCCTAAAGCCTAAAGCCTGAACCCTAAACCCTAAACCCTAAATCCTAAACCCTAAGCCCTAAACCTTAAGGCCTAAACCCTAAAGCACCTTAAAGCCTTAGACATCCTTGGAGCCTTGGAGGCCTCTAAGGCCCCCCAAAAAGCGGAGGACGCCTTGCGGCAGAGTCGCTTGCTGTCTAACGTTTTTTTTGGGGGCTTTGGGGGGCGGGGGGGGGGGTTGGGGGGCTTTTCTAGAGTGTTCCTGTGTGGTTGCTATAAAGGTTCGGTAGGGGTTCCTACAAGATTTTTGTAAGTAAGGTTTCTAGAGGGGTTCATGTAGCGTGTTGGGGCTTAGGGGATTGAGTTTAGGGCTTCTGTTGGAGCATGGCCTCCTGTCATAAGATGCCTGCAGTCCTTGGTCGCCGAACATATCGCCGACAACCCCAATGCGGGCCCACTCGTCAGCATCGGTTCTGAAGGTAGTGAGCTGTTCCTGTCGTGGACTCCACCGCCGAGGCCTCTCCCTGGCTGTGCACAGTCGACTTGCTGGTGGCTTTTCGGTTTGCCTTTGCGAAGGCTCCCGGCGCACCGCTATGTGCGGACCCTGCTGGTAACTAACGCCCAGCCAGCGCTTCTCCGTGGATGGCTTCGATGTGAGATTGTTGCCAGCCAGGGCCTCCATCAACCAAGCGCTTGGCATCGGTGTCCCCCGTGAGCGCTCGTGCAGCTTCCCTTCAGTTGCAACCCTTTGGGCCAGCTTTGATGCTACCAACTTTTGCCTGCTTGTCTCCTGGACCATCAGTGAGTCGGCGCAGTGCAGCATGCATTGGCAGAGTCAGGCCAGGCGCTGCACCAAGTGTGCCAAGGAGCGGCTCGTCGTGTCCGTTCCTTAGTTAACCTACATGGCAAAAGGATTTCGAAGCAATGGCGGCTAACGGCACCACCGCACCGAGCGGACCTGGGGAGCGCATGTTGCGACCCGAGTAGGGCTTGGGCCTTCTAGAGATGTTCCCGGGGCAGTTAACCCAAACCAAAGCTACGATTTCAGATATTTTGGAGTTTTGTTATGTTGTGTTTTTAGGTTTTGGATGTTGTTCTTTGTTGTGGTATTTAAGGGATTTTACAGTTAAGGCTCCTGCAACAAAGCCCCTGGCCCCTACTCTGCAGATCTATGCCGTAGCTTTGCACAGCCTTCTCAATCAGGTTTGAGTCAGGATTCAATCTTGGTTTAGGAGTTTACGGTCCAGGGCTTGAACGTCAGGGTTTACGGTTTAAGGTTCAGGGTTTCGGGTTTAAGGTCTAGGGTTTGAGGTTTTCGGTTTCGTGTCAAAGTCCCAAAGATGCAACTTTAAACCCCAAGCGCCCCTTTTGAGAAGTTGATGAACAATTTCCAGAAGTGCCGAGGCCGGGATCTGGAGCTTACAGACCTCACCACTGAGACCTTCGTGCTGAGCGAGCCTCCGATGCTCTTGAGATTTATTGGGCTCTGGGTTTCTGGCTTGCGGTTAACGGTTTACGGTTTGGGTCTTGGACTTTGGTTGTTGAGAGGACTCGTGAGATTTGTGGTTTTTATTACATGTGGGCGGCTCGGATGTTTTATTCTTCAAAGTTCAGTTTTCGGGGTTCGAGGTAATGCGGCATCAGATCAGGATCAAACATAAATTCCTGATGATATTCATACAATAATTTGCCGAAGACTCTAATCGAATCTTGAAACCTCTATATCATAGAATCCTTGTAGAACAATTTACGGCAACTTTACAGAACCCCATAGCGAACCTTCTTTTGAGTATGAAGGTCCTGCTATTTCGGTTGAGGGTTTAGTTGTCTGGAATTGATGGGACCGCAAGGATTTCGGGGCATTGAGACCTCAGGGAAGAAGTGACGCAATATATGGGTTCAATGATTAGAATATAGCGTTGGAGTATGTAATACAATCAGGAGTTGCAGGCTTCGAATTCACTTATCATGCAACCAGGAATAAGGCCATAAGTAACTGTGATGTTTTGGGGTTTAGGGTCTAGGATTTTATCAGGGCTTGAGGTGTAAAAAGGTTTGAGGTTGGGCCGATGGGGTTTAGGGTCAGTAACCCCACGAACAATTTCGAAGAAAGCTCCAGGAGAAGGTCCACGAAGCCCTGCATAAAGTGAAGCACGAGCTGCAGCACGGCAGTGGAGCGGTGCTTTTGAGGTAGGACACCAGGGATAATGATGGCATACAAGGTTTTCGGGTTCCTTGGGGAGTTGTATAGGGGGGTTCAGGATTTTTTGATTGAAGGCTTCAGGGTGTTAGAGAAAATTTCAGCATTGTCGGGCTTGTGAAGGGCTCGTCAGTCCCCTTGCAAGTAACCAGGCCAAAACAGGGACTTTACTTCTACCTGCCGCGCGGACCACCGGACCACGTACATGGACAAACGATTTCACGACCATTAGCCCGACATGTTTGGAGACAAGGCATGTCTTTGAAAGAACCCCCAAAACCTCAGCCCTGTAATAGAGGGATTTCCACAGGTCCGTGTAGGCCTTTATAGGGTTGCTGATGGATTAAAGGGGCACTAAATCGTCAGTGGAAGGTTTTCTCAGGGTCCGTCACACATACACCCAGCTTCTTCAGACCCTCGTATTCCCCAAGCCTTACATCTTAAGCCCTGTGCCCGAAGCCCTAAAGCCAATCCCTTCTGGACAAAAGCATCCAAAACACTGCCATGGAGGGGGCCTGAACAATCAAGATAGGGGGGTATATATTTTTGTATAGCTACATACGGAGTACAGCAGGATACTGTTCTTCATCATTCTGAGCCTTTTGTTTGCGTTTCAGGGCTTCGGTCTGGATTGCAAGCTGGATCCTTGACCACCCAGGCCTGCACTCCTGAGTCAAATCTGGAAGCTGTAGCCCAAATAGGCCCCGAGCTCCGGAGGGTTTGGGGAATATCTAAGGTAGTTCGGGAACCCTACATGACATCGCCAAACCCTAGACCCTGAACTTCAATCAAGACCCAAAGTGAGCGAACTCGCCAAGAAGCTCCTGCCACCAGAAACTCGAAAGATGGCGTAGGTTCGGCCCAGATTGGATCCATCAGCTGGGAGAAGAGGCCCCAGCAACGTAGAAGCCCGACGAATTACTTGGCGTTTCTCTGGTTGGCTCTTACGAAAGGGTTTCTATACGATCTGTAGTAAGTAAGCTACTGTAGCAGTTTAACTAGTGGGAAGTCGGCCAAGACTTGGAATTCTCTTCCAGAGACGTCCGGAACTCGAAAGGACTGCCGGCGCTGCTTCTTCGGCCTCTGTGCGCATCTGGGTCGAGCGGTGGCGCAGGCCTTCTTGCTTTCAAGGATTCGGGCACTTAGTAAGTGGGGCTTTCAGTCAGGCACCTATAGTTAATTGCAGCTGCATGGGTTCTCAGGAACTGAGGGTCGACCTTGTGCTCTTTTCTCTAAGGGCTGGGCCGGGGAAGTAGCCCCAAGTCGCAGTTGGACTAGTTCTCTCTGCCTCTCTCTCTGCCTGCCTCTCTCTCTCTCCCTCCCTCTCTCTCTCTCTATCTTTTTGTTGCCAAAAGGCTCACTGAGACCTATATCCTTTGGTGTCGATTCCCATCGCCGATAGAGCCTCGCTACATGTATATATTTGTATATAAACAAATACGTATAATGTCAAGTAAATAAGCCCTTATACAACCCGTGTAAAAACCCTGTACAGCCCCTCTAAGCCGAACTGAAACAGAAGCCGTATAGTTAGGGACCCCCAAAAAGGACATAAGCATAAGCATTTTGCAGGAATATGCCTACCTTATTGACCTTCATTATAAGGGGGTTTGTTTTGGATATCCCTATCCCAATTTTTGCTTATGTGTTTTTCTGAGGCCCTATATAAAGCTTTTTGAAACCCTCGTAAACTCTGTAAAACCCTCATAAATCTCTGACAAGCCCACCAAAAGTTCGGCAAGAACCCCTGTTTCAAAACCTTCACAAGACTCTTGCAAGATCCTTACAAAACCGCTAGAAAAGTCCTTAACCCTAAACCCTAAACCCGAAACCCTAAACCCCTTCAACTTCCAGTCCACTGACCTCGGTGAGCTGTGTGCGCGAGTGGCTTGGCTTTCCAGGGCCATGGCCTCTAACGATTCAAGCGGGGTGTAGTGCTCCTTTAAGGCTTCCTTTCGGGGTTCGTTTCAGGGGTCCTTTTTGGAATTATACCGGTCATACGCACCACCACCCTACTCTAATCATTAATGGAGTTCGGGCTTTGACCCCAGACCCTAAACCCTAATCATTAGAGCCGAGCACCATGAAGGGATTTCGGGTTCATGCGCGTCAGGTTCCTAAGTATCAGCTCTAAGCTTGCCGGTTCCTAGGTTAGGACCTTGGGGTTTAGGTTTCAGGGTTTGATTAGGCTTTAGGCTTCACGGGCTTTAACCTTTATCGGGTTTAGGGTAGGGTGTGGGGTTAAGGGGTCGATCTTGCTGCGGGCTTTAAAAACTTTAGGGTTTAGGGCTGGCTCTCGGACCAAAGTCCTTCGAGGATTCTATTTCTGAGGGGCCTGTCCAATGCGAACAGGGTTTTGGGGTATCGAAGTTACGGAGGAGTCCTTTCTGGTAGGGACTAGAAACGGGTACTCGTATTATGAGTAATCATTCATGTTGACCTCTCTATTAACAAGCTCCACATCCAGGCATGGATTTGGAAGCTCAGGTGGAGGATGCAAGATCGCTGGAAGTCCTTGCAGCCACGCATACCAAGCGACGGGGCTACCGCAATGCCAAGGATCGAACCGTGTAGATTGTTGGCTTCAGCATACGTGCCATGCGCGCATGAAACCAGTGTATGATGCGAAGCCTCCAAACCCCAAATTGCTAGCCCTTCGTATTGATCTTGCTGCTTTCGTTTCTCTGGGCGGGGTTTGGACATCGTGGCGACTTGAACAACATATTTGCTCTGGCAGATAAGAGAGCTGTCCCGATCAGTAGTAAGACAATCCCCTTGTCCCTATATAGCTCTGCCACTGTAATATGCGCCAGGGTGCCCTTATACAGTCTTCAGTCACTGAAGCGTTGCAGAGCCTGCAAGGACCAATTCCTCCACGTGGATAGCTCAATTCCGGCCGCACGTGGAGAGGGGATCCTCCGCAGCATTTCATGTGGGTTTGGAGCTTGATTTCAGAGTTAGAAGAGAAGCTTGAATAATTAGTCATGCTATTCCTTCCGGTCCTTGGTATGCTTGTTCCGAAAATCTAGCCATCGATCGATCGATCTATCTATCATTGAGCTCAGGGCTCAGATTGTTGTGGAGCCAGCATGTTTTTAGTGATAGTTCGGATCATTGCGCGGATTCTTCCTTTACCGTCGGAGCCTTAGAACGGCCAATACTGTAGCTAACCTCAAGTCCTTGAATCCCCCAAACCCTAGAAGCCCCACGCCCTGCAGTCCCCAAGCCCTAAACCCTAAGCCCCAGACCACCAAAACCTTGCCCCAAACCTTTAATGCCCGTGGCCTGAAGGGTTGAGCATCAATGCTGAAGGCTTGCACAGGGGAACCTGAGGAGTTGCAAGGCTTTAAAGCCCTTGGCTTTTTTTTGGAAGGGTATTGACGGTTCATTTTCTCAAAATGCTGCGTTCCCCGAACCTTTCTAGCTGGACAAGTTTGCTAAACATGTATCCCACTCCCGAAACCCCAAGCCCAAAGACCCGAAACCCAAATACCCAAAGGCCCAAACCCCAACGGTTTAGGGTTTAGGGTTTAGGGACTCTAAACCTCGAACCCCCAAAGCCCCAAATACCCAAACACCCTAAACAAACCCTAAACCCTAAACCCTAAACCCCAAGCACCCTAAACCCTTCGAAGGATCTGCGATGTGCTGGCGATGATCTGCGTGCGGCCGGCTGCGGAGGGCGGCGTGAGCAAGACGCTGGGTCCGCTTTAGCGATTCGGGGCTTCAGGGGCTTCAGGGGTTCAGGGGTTTTCGGGGCTTTAGGGTTCAGGGGCTTCGAGGTTTACGGTGGGGGGGGGGTTTAGGGTTTAGGTTTTCGGCCAAGGGTTTAGGGCATGAGGTTTCTTAGATATTTAGGGTTTCTTACAACGCGGACGCTTATTATTCCTGTCTGTACGAATACTAGTGTCGCTTCTTTCTGAGACTCCCGTAAAGGTGGTAGCCATTGCAGACCTTGCGAGGCTCGCCAGTGCGGCGGAGATTTATGCGCGCCTGCCCCTGGGTTGGCCAAAGGTGTCGGCTTCCAGTTTTTACAGGGCCGGGCATCGTCTGGACTTTGAGACCGCGGGCGGGGGTTGAAAGGCTGAAGGCCCAGCGCCTCGAACCGTTAAAATCTGAACCCCAGAACCCCTGAAGACAGAACTCTCAATTAACCCCTATACAGCCTAAGACCCTAGACTTTGATAACCTCTTTCAGATCTTGAAGCTTATGGTGGCATCTTGTCAGCAGGTTAGATCTTCTTTGGCGAATTGAGGCTCACCATTCCTCAGACGTTGACGAGTATGGGTTGTTTGTTCTGCGGTTGGGGGCCTGACGTCCTAAACTCTAGGCCTTAAACTTCAGACCTGAACCGGTTTGATGGGTTTCGAGTTCAGGGGTGTGATGTCTGGAAGTTCAAGCCGTCCGGGACTAAACGAGCCCAAAGCCGTCAACCCCGCATGCAATCGCCGATCCTAAACTTTGCATAGAAAAGCTTGAAACCCTAAGACCCCAGCACCCTGAACTCTAAACCTAAAAGCCAGAACCTTTTTCTTATCAGCATCTACACCCCAAGACCCCAGAAGCCAAACTTCATCTGATTATAGTAACCCTTAGAGTATCCACAGCAACCCTTACAGCAACCCTTATGGCAAACCTTTACAGTACCTTCCGGTACTCCTTTGTAGCACCCCTTTTGGTATGTCTTATGGCAGCTTGCCCAGGCAGGAAAAGCCCTCGCTGCTCAAGCTGGTAGATTCATGGCATGATAGTGCTTTGGATCTAGAATCTAGGGCCGTAAGAGTGGGGATCAAGCTTTCGGGGGTTTTGGGGTTTGAGGCTCAGGGTTTCAGGGGGTTTGGGGGTTTAGGGCCTTGGGTTTAGGACCGCATGGCGCTGCTTCTGGCCGAAATCAAAGGTTCAATAAAGCTTCGAAGGGGCTATTAAAAGCTTGCAAGGTGCATCAGCTGAAGCGTGCTAGCCTGCGGGAAAACACGGTCTAACTCCACTGCTCGTTATGCATGCAGGCTTGTAGGTTTTTAGGCAGACATGCAGTGCAGGCTTCGGATTTAATTTGGGTTTAGAGGTTCTGACCACGAGAGGTTTTGGGGTTTAGCCTTCAGCCCAACACCCCAACACCCCTAAACCCAAAATTGAGCCTAAACCAAAACCCTCCCCAACTCCTAAACCCCTGAACCCGTAAACCCAAAAGTCCCTGGCACCCAGAGGAGCGCGGCTTTTAAGCACGACCAAGACACCCTGTAAAGAAAGTGGTTGAGGAACGGGGCTTCAAGTACGATGCCAAGTCCGTGGAGTACCATCCGAGCTGGCGGCGGCTGCCTCCCTCGGATGCAAAAGAGCGGCCTATGGCCTACAAGGATGCTCCTGAGCGGCCTTAAGGGAGGAGGGCTTTGGGTTGGGATTTGCGGTTTAGGGTTTAAGGTTTAGGGTTTAGGGCTTTGGGTTAGGGTATACGGTATGGGGCAAAAGATTTGCGGTCCATAATGGATAGACAGGGTTTATTCTGCAAAGATTAGATTGCTGACAGCCCTCGACGCCTCATACTGTTAGAAGCCGGAAGAATAAGTAACACTATTTCGTAGAGACCCTTAATCTCAGTATACCATCACATACCACCCAAAAAAGCCCCAGATTTCACTAATGAGGCAAACGGGCGCCCCTGCATCCAGTATGCCAAGAACATGGTGCGCTGCCTGAACCCATTGGACGCTCTGGGGTCTAGGGTGTAGAGTTCTATTGACCTTTCCAGAGCGTACAAACCCTAAGCCCTAAATCGTGGACGTGGGCTTCGATTGATGTTGGCGTGCAGGCAGGGGTCGGGGGTTAGGGTCGTGGGCCTAGAGGCCCTAAACTTGTTCACCCTAAGCACCAAATCTTCAAAACCCCCAAAACCCAGACGCAAACCCCCTCAACCCCATAGTCCCGAAGTGAACTTCACGCGCACCACAGCTGCATCCCTGAGCAGACCACACTGCGATAGAAGCCTACATTGTTAATCATATGATTCCCGTAGGGTTCCTTCTAAATAAGGAACCATAATGTACCCTAAAGCCCGATTCTACTTATTGAGGCCCCCTACTACACCCCCCACAGCCGATGCACATCGAGCTCTTGAGCTTCGGTGAAAAAGCCACGGATGCTAGCACAATTGTCACCTTCAGGATTGCAGGAAGTCTTGATGCGGCAGAGGCAGGCGCAGCCGCCAAGCCGGCCGCCCACGTATTATTGGGTCTTCATGCAGGGGCTGGCGATCTGTGTGAGGAGTGGTCGGAATGTTTGCAAAACAGATGCGAATGTCAAGGACCGCAGCCAAGCTCGGACGACGAGTGTGATGTTGTGACGCGGGACGAGGATTTGGATCCCATTATCAAAGCAGGCGACAGACTGCTAAGAGAGCTTCGTAGTGAGGTCGATGCTGAATTAGGTTCATCCGAAGCGAAACGACGCTGCTGCCCTCTATGCCCTTTCCGTCGCTTTCAAGATCCAGGTCGTGTGAGGCATCACATTCGCTCTTATCACGTGGAAAGGAAACAACTTGTATGCAGTGGCACCAAGCAGTTGAAGCTTTGCTGCGCCTTGTTCGACCACGATCAGCTGCGTGGCAGCATCCAGGGCTCGTACTTGAGATGCAGCTCTGACATACTTCGGACCACAGTAAAGCCATCCTTGAGCTGCACCATGAATGAAATTGATAGACACATTCGTTTGGTGTTTACCGGCTCCGGGCCCGAGTATTGGAATCTGAAAGCTGTCGCAGACTCGCCTGACCTAAGGCGCGCCCGTAATTTGTACTACACACGTGCTTTCGCGGAATTGGTTTACCGCGAACTGCTCATGTGCCACGCGAGGTGCAAGGCAGTGTCTTGGATTTGCGTTTAAGGAAAAGGTGATTTGTTTCTGGTGTGCGTACAGACAGTAAGCTGAGGGTGTGATATAACAAGTATCATATTGTTGCATTCTCGGCAAGGCGAAGCCACGACTCGCTATGTGGATCAGCATGCAAGGATCGCAGCTGACGTCGCTCCTGCCTACGGACGTCAGACATTGGTGGCCAATCATTGAGGACGTATTCACATCCTCAGCAGCGCGCAGCTTGAGCTCTGACATGATGGCCGCATTCTGCAATTCCAACGAATTCGGGTTCTTGTCGCTGGACGCCACCATCAAGTGCTGCATGTGCGTCATGGGACAGGAGTCCTACCGTGCCCCCAAGCACAATGAGGGATGCAGCGCCGTTCGATGATAACGACTCACTCAGGCGAGTTTTGACCGTGCGAGGGCGTACTGGTGCTGTTTTGGCCATGATTCCAGTGTCTTCGGAGAAGGCAGAAGAGGTAACTATGGCCCTCGGCGAGGCGTTGCCTGCAGCAGGACTGCAGCAGGTGCAGTGCATTGCGTCGGACACCGCCTCTCTCAAGCTCTTCACCCAACTGCGGCGGATCATGCCAGGCCTACAATGCCTGGTGTTGGACCCCATCCACTTGTCCATCGTGTACGAGCAGCTCGGCTTGTCGGATACACTTTAGTAAGTAGCCAAGAACGCATGAAACCAGTCAAAGCCGTCAAGCACGCTTGAGTGTAGCTTGACAGTTCATATTGAGGTGTAGAGCTGCATGATCAAGACAGCTACGCCACTTGGCGCAAGAAAACTGCAGGTGCAGTTTTCTTGCGCCGAGTGATGAGCAAATTCAACGCAGTGAGCGTGTCACTGCCTGCGGATCACTGGGGAAATTTCCAGAAGAGCTACAATGCTGGCGGATTGAGTCACGCTGAAACTGTGTGTCGGAGCCAGATCGAAAACAGCTCCATGACCAAGCTCAGAGCCAGAAGGATTGTGGAAAACCTCGACACATCAAAACCTTTTCTGTCCAGGTTCGAGTTCATTGAATGCCTCGCGGCATTGTCATCAATGTATTCGGAAGGCATGGACCGCAAGGTTACGGGTTCCAACCAGCGAGTTGCGCATGTGCTCTGGTGCGCCGCTGACCCAGATCGGGCCGCCTGGCTGTTCAACAATCTACGTTGGCGTCACACTCCGGGTCCACGACTCAGAAAAAAAACACACGCAGATTGCAGCATGAGCCAACGTGACCCGAGCGCTTCCCCATTCCCCATGTGTCCTGTGATTGCATGGTCTGAGGCCGAAGGGTGCTGGCTCTGCTCGTCAGGGACTTCCTCGAACGAGGCTCTACACTCTGAGGTGAAGAACTGGTTCGCGGAAACACAGCAGATCCATCAGAGCACCCGTCGTATGAAGCTGCTGATCCTGACCCTTGGCAAGCAAATCCCGCACTTTCATGCTATGGCTAATCCGACCATAAGCCAGTGCTCGAGCCGCATCCTTATGGCACGGACCATAACGAACTCGCCTTGGACGGAGCTCACGTGGCAAACCTGGTGCGCCGAGCTGAGCAGTGAGTGTCGGGTAGAGAAGGCCTCGCTGCCTTACAACGAATCACGGGCAGAAGAGGTATCCAAGCTACGCGAATTTACCAAGAAGCGCCCGGCCGCTGCTCGCAAGTCTCACACAAAGCGAACCCCATTCACGCTTGAGCGTGTTTCTAAGCTGCGCACACAGGGTGTGCGCAAGCTTACCAAATGAGCGACAGTGCAGAGTGAAGAAAAGGCACACGTCAAGCGATGGGTTTGCATGTGGAAACTAACCGTCGATAAGATGCCCTGAAGTATGCAACTTTAAGCAATCGTGCGTTGAGCCTGAGCAACTTGACCTGGGTAACTTCCTTCTTTTAGAGCAGCGAGAACACGACCTGACGGATGCGGTAGGCATACCATTCACTGCTGGTTCATCTAGCATTACCCACATCGAGAGGTGGCTTTGCGAGACGGAAATTCCTACTGGAACACGGTAAACTGTGGCTATGCTGGATCGAGGTAAACCGTGGCTCTGCGTCACGAACTTTCCTGCTGGATCGAGGTAAACTTTCCCCGACATAAAAGCAAACAGTGAAGGACAGCTATTGGGAGAATCGCATGCGCGACCTTCCACTTCCACTTCCCCTTTCCACTTTCCACTTCCACTGTTCACTTTCTACTCTCCACTTGCACTTTTCACTTTTCACTTTCACGTTCCACTTGTGCGCTCCAGTTTCACAGGTGGTATACGCGTCTTACGCCTCTGTCAAACC